TCCCTCCCTCCCTCCCTCCCTCCCTCTCTCTCAACGGGATCTCTAGGTAGCTCAGGCAGGTCTCCAGCCATGGATCTTACCGGGACTCTCCTGTCTCAGTCTCGCAAGTGCTGAATTAGTGCTGGCATACGCTATCAAGTCTAGCAGATCATTGCCTAGCGGAGCAGAAAGCTGGGTGAAGATGTACACTGACGCTAGATCCTCAGTTGAGACATCTGTGCACCATCTAGCACAGTCCCAAGGAAAGACCCACTCTGCCTGTGAGCGGGCCTTCTTGGCAGCCCTGACCCACCAACTCAGGTCATCCTGCCTTTTTTTTTAACCCTGCTTTTGAAATGGCAGCCAGACCTGTTCCGATTCTACTGACCCCCATAGGCTTGCAGGTCCCATTGTACCATTGTAGCTTCTTGATTTGTTGTTTATACATTTATTGAACAGAATTTAATGTATTATCAAATACAGTTATCTTCAAATGCATTCTAGTGCCTCTCCCTGCCATTACATTGAAGATTAACCTGGGACCTTCACACTGACCTACATCGTCAGTCCTTTTTAAATTTTTATTTTGAGGCAGGGTCTCACTACATTTCACAGGCTGGTCTTGAATTTAAAATCTTCCCACCCGAGTCATGAATCACCACACCTGACTGTCATATGTGTGTATATATATATATACATACACACATATGACCTACATTATACAGTGTATTTTTGATAGCTTAAATTTTTAATTAGTTTTTAAATTGAAAAGTAACATATGTGGTAAAAATTAAGATGTCTAAAGAAGTTATAATTTGCAGTTAAATTTCTTGGGCCTGGGGTGGTGTAGCTCAGTGCTAGAGCACAAGACCCTGGGTTTGACCTCCAGCACTACACAAAAAATATATACACACAAAATATATATACACACATATGACAGTCAGGTGTGGTGATTCATGTGGTGATATATATACAAAATTTTTAAAAAACTACTTTCTACTTTAAAAAAAACTGAGGCTCAAAACCAGGTGTGGTGGTGCACATCTGCAATCTCAGCACTTGGGAGGCTGAGGCAGGAGGACTGCCAGAAGTTTGAGTCCAGCTAGGTCTACATAGTCAGTTCAAAGCTGACCTGAGCTGCATAGCAAATGCCTGTCTCAAAGAACAAAGAACACAGCCAAGTGTGGTGGCTCATACCTGTAATCCCAGCACTTGGGAAGCTGAGGCAGAATTGTTTGCATGTTCGAGACCAGCCTGGGCTACAAAGTGAGCCCAAAGCCAGCCTGAACTACACAGTGAGACCCTATCTCAACAAGGCCAACCCCCCCCCCAAAAAAAAACCCCACACAAAAACAAAGAACAACCGAAGGAGTTCACTCACTAGGCAGTCTTAGACCCAGCATGTAAATCCATCCTCTCATGGCTCCCCACTGAACCCTACAATGTTTGTTGTTGGTTCCTGTTTGTAAGTTTTCAAAGGTATTGACCTACATTATACAGTGTATTTTTGATAGCTTAAATTTTTAATTAGTTTTTAAATTGAAAAGTAACATATGTGGTAAAAATTAAGATGTCTAAAGAAGTTATAATTTGCAGTTAAATTTCTTGGGCCTGGGGTGGTGTAGCTCAGTGCTAGAGCACAAGACCCTGGGTTTGACCTCCAGCACTACACAAAAAATTCTTTTCACTGCTGTTTCTAATATGTATTTCCATGAAGAGATGGAAGGAGGTGAAGGGGAAGTAGGGAGAGTCAGGATGTGTTATTACGGGTACCAACTCCTGCATGATCTAATTATTATAAAAATATATTCTAATATATTATCATAATCAAAATAAAAATTAGAGGAAAAAACAATGCACATTTTATAATTTCGTGTACTAGAATTGAGGCAGGAGATTAGGGCATGGCAGGGTGGCTGGGCAGGCGAGCATGACCTGTGAGTCACAGAGATTCAGGACACACACAGCACAGCTTTCAAGCGCTGCACCTGGTACCAGAGAACGTTATCTTCCATTCTTTGGCACAGATCAAGCAGTTTCTTGATAGGGCGGCCTAGGTTCAACCCCAGAGTAGTGATAAAAAGATGGCAGCCACTGGCCTCGTGGTTCTGCCATTTCCCTTTGTCAGGGGCCCATTCTGCACTCTGCGTGTTCTCTTCCTGCTTTAACTGGCCTGCACTCACTCTGCAGAGCTCTTCTTCCAAGCATGTCTCCCATCTTTCCTTACCTTTAATACCTTTAATGAATCTTTGATGCGTATAAAGCCCTACTATATTTCCTGTCCAAGTGTTTGTGTAGAACAAGAGCCCAGAAAGGACGCTAGGAGGGCCACAGTACCCCAGCACCCCACTAAGAGTCTCTCCAGTGACCTGCTGAGGCCTGCAGGAGAAGTACAGATGCTTCAGCAGGCACTTTCAGTCCTCCAGGTCAGAGGCTGTCTAGCTCAGCTGGTCCCCTTGGTCCGCTCTATCTCAGCCGACTCTCCATTCCCCTCCCTCCCTGTCCAAAGGCCACCTTCTCTCACCTTCCTCCCGAGGCCCAGCCACTGTGAAACCCCTTCCCTGTCTGCCTCGCCTGAGTGTTCTGTCCTTTTCCGGTTCCTTCTTTCTTTCAGCTTGTCTTGTACCCTTGTCCCTTTGTATTGATAGGTCATTGCCCGCCTGCCCTGTGACCCTGGTTAGATGCTTCCAGGCGTAGGGTGGATGAGGTCAGCAAGGCGGGAGGAAAACATTCATTTCCTCTGCATCTGCCTCATCCAGGCCCTCATTCGTCTACGGCCTGAGAATGCTTTTTCTCTATAGCTGTCATAACCATTCTTTGATTCTCCCTCTGTTGATAGTTCAGTCTTCCTCCAATCAACTTTCCTTCGCTGTGAGAAAGTTGCCTCCGGAGGTCATATAATCCAGCTTCTTCCCTCAAATGAGTACTTCGTTCTCCTCTGACAGAGGAGGCAATCCTCTGGGCTAGAGGCCGTTAGAAGGATGGTTACCGGAACCCAGCGCTGTGTCCTAGGGCAGTGAGGATGGGAGCAGAGGTAGAAGGGAAGCCATCGTGAGGGGTCTAATGGGGTCTCCACCTCTGCTGCCGGAGAGTCACCTGTGCAGTGGGACCCGGGGCCTGGAGGATGAATCTTGTCTTCAGCCTTTCCGTTAAGGAGACAGATGAGGGATTGCTTAGTCCAGCTCCTCAGGCAAGAGATGAATAGTAAGTTGAAGCAGTCACTCTGCTTTCAAGGACGCCCTGTGTTAGCAGTGCTTTGGGCACAGAACAGTGGCAAGGAGGCTGAAACAGGAATCTGGCTGGTTGGTCGATGGGTCCCCCAGAGGGGTGATTCCTAATTACACCTCCAGTCAGTGGACTTGGTGGCCAAAGGCCAAATGCTTGGCCTACCTGGCAGGGCAGGTGGGGCTCTAAGGCCCACAGTGGCCTTCCATGCGCTTTTGATGGCTTTCAGAAGCTGAGGTATTTCCAACACAAAATATCACACCTCAAAAGCTCGCCCTAGTTTAACAGAATATACGTGAACTAAATAATCAGAATTTGAAGTGAAAAGCCCATGGATGTATAATTTGTAGCATTTCTTACTCAAGCAACATCCAGAGCAATGTGTTTCCAGATGGGTTTCCCTCCCAGAGGAAATCCTGGGGAGAAGGCTAGATTATCCAGTGTAGGTTACCTGTCAGGGACTCTGATCACAGAGAATTCATCAAATCACTCACTAAACTTCTGAATAAAAGTACTGTGGGAGGTTACAGAGGTGTTTGATGTCAGGGGCGTCTTCACAACTTTCCACTGTTAAAGGCCTTCACCCTTTCACTTCAGGTTTTTTTGCTCTCAATTTCATGTGCAGCGATTGCCCTGGTGATTCATACGGGCAGCAGCAAGAGTGAAATCTAGAGCTGCCCAGGAGGGCTGCTGTCTGGGAGGAGTGAACTGAGGCTAAAAATAGGTTGGAGCTCCTGGGCCAGCCTCCTGCATGGCCGCAGGCATCAAAAAGGAGCTTCAGGAGGGAAATCTGCCTCTTGTGAGTTGCCCACAAGAGAAGGCAAAAGCCCCCACCTCTGTCACTCCTGCCCCCAGGAAAAGCTCGAGGTGACAATGAATTGAGCGCTTTCAAAATGTGACAGACAGGCTCTCACCCCTTCCTCCCCCAGACTTCTGATCACAGGCTTTCCCTCTGGGTGCATTCACCTTCTTAGTTCCTACTTCTTAGTTCAGCACAAACGTCTATCTCTGTAGCTGGGTTTTGTCAAAGAATTGATAAAGATAAAGGAAATGCATGGGAGAGGGTGTGAGGCCCCAGGTTCAGTCTCCAGCCACACACACACACACCACAGATCAAAGATAAAAGAAATGTAAAATATTGACAAAACAAGGGGGAAAGCACTGTAAAGTATGATGCTGCACACCTGTATTCTTGGCAGTTGTGAGGCTGAGGCAGGAGGATCATGAGTCTGAGGTGTGAGTCCCTTCTCAACCTCCTCCATTCAAACAAAAAACCCAAATAAACAGCACTACAGGTAAAGAAAAAGCAAACATCATTTTGTCAAGCATTTATTAAGTATGTGTTAGGATGTAGGGGTACAGTGAAAATAAAATATGCTTCCTGCTTTCAAGGTGCTTTGAGGCTAGTGGAAAGGTAATTAGTGACCCTAGTAATAGTTGGTAAACAATATGGCTGGCACAAAGACATGGCGCTAGGGGAGCATAGAACAGGAGATGCTGAGTCACACAGAGTGGATTGGTTGATGGGTCTTTGAAAAGGAAAACAGGAGTCTGTCAGAGAGCAGGGGTGTGGAGCAGACATGGCAGCGGGGAGCTGAGTCTGGTGTGAGGACAAGTAGTGCCACAGGGCCAGATGTGTGGCAGAGGGTGAGGTGTGAGAGGCTTAGGCAGGAAAGGCGAGGGCACAGCCATGGGACCCAGGGGAGCTGGGTTCTCACCCTGAAAGTCAGAGCGTGCCCTGAGTGTATAAATGGTGGTGATGGCCAGTGAGTGCTTCAGGAGGAAGTGTGAGTGAGGTGTGAGGCTGATGGCCGGTGAAAAGCAGTGACTGGAAACAAAGATGGCTGACGAGGGGCCGGGACTGGCTGTCTGAGGTGAAGGAGAGAGGCAGGGTCTGGAAGCTCTCCTTCTGACTTTGGTTTCTTTGCAGGGAGCCTGGAGGAAGAGCAATTGAAGGGAAGATGATGAGTTCTGCCTTGAATAGGTGAATTTCAAGGGTCTCATAGATGTGTGACAAGGAGTTTAGCATGGACAGTCCTAAGGTATGCAATATTTGAAAGTGTTGGCATAAAATAACACCTCTGCTTTAAGGGAAGTTAGATAATAGTTCATTCTGAGCCAAATGAGTGAACATGGAATACTAGTTCAAACACCTTGAATGACATTCCACCATGAAAGAGGTGAATAAGCTTTTATAGTTACATAACAAAGAAAAGTTATAAACCAATACATTTACCAGTTCCGTATTGCAGCCATCTATCTGGCTAACCAGCTCAAGCTACTCAAGTAGTTCCTGCCATCTGTCACTTGTCCTTGAGCCCTCCCTTCTTAAGATAATAAATTCCGGGAGAGGCCTGTGATCAGGGTGTTCGCATACCCTCACTTGGATGGGACTTAGGACCCACTGGCTGCCCATAATTTTGAATATGTCAGCATCTTTACTCTTGCTGTGGGTTACACTGGAGGTAATAGAGTGGAATTAACTTGATGAAATTCCAGTAACAGTTCCATGGGATTTCCAGATTATGAGGTGAACTAAAAAAAAGATTATAGGGGTTGGGAATTTAGCTCAGCAGCATAAGCACCTGCCTTGCAAGCAGGCAGTCGTGAGTTCGATCCCTGGTACCGATAAAACGGAAAAAGACAAAAAAAAATTATAATATTTGGATTTTATATATATATATATATATATATATATATATATAGTACAATGTATATCCCAATATATATTGGGATTTCAATAAAAGTCTGCAAACTCTTGAATATGGATTTAACTTTTTCAGAGAACTTCCATTCACTGAAATTATCAGTTTATGTGAGAAACAGCTAAAGCTGGGCTAATGACAAAGCCATTCGGGAATGGTGAATAGAGGCCTGTCTTAGTCACTTTTCTTGTCGCTGAGACACAATACCTGACACTACGGCTCAAAGGAAGGAAGGTTTATTTTAGCTCCTATTTCAGTCCAGTCAGCTGGCTCCAACGCAGGACAGCCTGAGAGGGGCTCATGGCCTGGTGGGCAGGAAGCAGGGAGGGAAGGGAGCGGCAGGGAGTGAGGTAAGCCCTGCCAGGTCACGCCCAGTGACCCCGCTCTTCAGATCAGGCCCACTTCCCAACAACACGCCATGGTAGCACCCCATATTCCAACTGCCATTCCCAAACCCCTCCTCAGAGTGGAAGACATCGGGTATAAACCATAATGAGCCCCAAAGGCCAATGCTGAAGATATCAACACTGAAGCGGTAAGCTGGTGCTGAGAAAGAAGCAGAGGAAATGGAGAAAGATATCCCAAGAAGAACAAAAACTGAAGGAGGGGATATCACAGAAACTAAAAAGGTGAGAAATCTAAGAAGGCCGTCATTGTGGAAAGTTTCAAGTGTGTCAAAAGCGGGTCTGTACAAAATTACACTGACTTGGGAAAGCTCACGAATTCAGCACAGTGTGAGAAGAAAAAGACCAGACTGCAGGACGAATACATTTTATTTAAGATACGTTGTTTAACTACTTTCAGATACAGTCATGCATTTAGTGATGGGATTTGTTTTAAGAAATGCACCATTTGGTGATTTTATCATGTGAGCATCGTAGAATATACTTCCTTGCAGAAGGTAGAATCTCTTTCATTTTATCAGTGAGCAGATGGAGGCTGATAAGGTGAGGTGATGTGCCCAAGTACCACCTGCAAGGAGGAAGCTTCTACGATGTTTGCACAGTGATGCAACCACTTAATGGCGCATTTCTCAAACATGTTCCATCATTAAATGATGTGTGACTGCATTTGAAAGTAATTAAGCAATATATCTTAAATAAAATGTTCTCTTCTTTTATTCTGGGTTTTTTCTTCTCAAACTATCCTGAAACAAAAATATGATATGAATATATACACACATATAAAATCATCTATCATTTCTATGGCCATGATGATCAAAATAAGAAGAGATTAAATCAAGCAAAGAGAAAATGATACCATCGAGAGATGTGGTAAACATGAGATTTCTAAGGCTGCTGCTGACTTGACATTGCATTTTTTTTTAATAGTAAACTTTTTAAAAAAGTAGAACACTCTGAAATAATGATTAAAAAAAGATAGCACAGGCTGCAGGTTGTGGTACATACCAGTTATCCCAGCTCTCTGGGAGGGTGAGACAAGAGACAAGAGGATCTGAAGTTCAAACCCAGCTTCGCAGTTTATATAGGCCCTGTCTCAAACAAAAAACAAAAAAGGGGGCGGGGTTGGGATATAGCGGAGTGCAAAGGCCCTGGATTCATAATCCTCAGTACCTCAAAACCACAACAAAGCAATAGTATAGTAAATGCATAAATTGTTAAAAACTGTTGCTTATTAACATTATTAAGGATTATGAGTTACACATAGAATGTCCCCCAAACCTCCAGGCTCCGGAGCAAAGTTTCTGGAAGGTGGCGGATCATGGGACACTACACCTTCCAGGGGACCCACCTGATAATAACTGGCCACTAGGAAGTGGGGCCTGGCCGGAGGCGGGAGGCTGGGTGTGACCTGGCAGGGTGCATCTGCCTCCTCCCTTCTTGCTCTGCTCCCTGGCTGGCATGATGTGGGCCACTCTCCTCCAGGCTAGCCTACCTGCCATTTCAGCTTTCGAGCCTGTAGACCATGAAAGGGCTGAGACCTCTGAACCTGTGAGCCAAAATGAACCTCCTCTCTTTAAGCGGTGGGTGATGGCAATCGTGTTTTAGCACGGAGAAAGCAACTAGCACATATCCGAGATTGTATGTGATACACTTTTATACCACTGGCAGCATGGCTGTGTGTCTACCAGCACCTTGCAGACACACGAGCTAGGAAGGCTGCCTTATTACCAGGTGAGAGGATTCGCTTAGTGCCATGAGAACTGTATGGGAACATCAGCACTTTACATGATCTGTTTACTATGTTTGACCAAAAGCCCCTTCTTAGAAGGCTAATGGCGTCCTTCAGGACCACGTTTGAAAGATTTGCCAATCCTATGTTAAAAGCATGTAATGAAAATTTAGAATCACTTTCATTTTCTCAGTGAACAGATGGTGGTTGCTAAGGTTAGGTGATGTGTCCAAGGTCATGCAGTTAAATAATCAAGGCTAGAATCTAGATCTCTAGATATTTAGCCCGCTGCTCTTTCCTCTCTCAGCAGCTGGCTCTCAAACTGCAGCTTGCATTAGAGTTACTTAGAGGGTTCCTTAAAACAGAGATCGCTTTTGTTTTTGTTTTTGTTTTGATACCAGGGATCAAACTCTGGACCTCGTGCTCTCCAGGCAGCCACTTATACCGCTGAGCTAAATCCCTGCCCTCCCAGAGACACTTATTCAGTAAATCCACTCGGGGCTTGAGACTGGCTTGCTTACTAGATCCAGCTATCTGGTGCTGCTGGCCCAGGACCACATTGCTTTTCCTCTCAGTTTTATTAGTATATGTTTGCGATGCACAGTAAACACATTCATTGCAAGGTACTTGGTACATAAACATATTGCATTTCATCCTTTTTACGTCCCCTGCCCCCCTCTCATTTCCCCTTCCCATCCTTTCAAAGAACAAATTCTGATTCCTTGATTCTTTGTACTGTCTTTTAGTCTCAGTGTTATTACTTTCTGCTTGATCTTATAATTTCTTTCTTTCTGTTTGTTTCAGATTTGGATTGTTCTAGTCTTTCTAGACTTCGAGATGTATCATTAGGTTACACATTTGGGAGCTTTCTATTCTTTTTAGTGTGTGCCTTTACAGCTATACACAACCCCCTAGCACTGCTTTCACTGTGTCTGGAAGCACCTTTTGAGAGTCATTGCTGTAAAAGCTTGTCTGTAACACTGGAGGGTTCTAGAAGAGAGCAGTCAGATTCAGGTTCCTTCACCAGTCTCTTAGGAGCCCTCTTTATAACATTAATTTTCTTGGAAAAGAATGTTTTCTATTGGGCATGGTGGAGTATGCTTGCAATCCTAGCATTCTGGGAGGCTGAGACAGGAGGATTGCCAAGTTTCAGCTTAGCCTGGAGGATTTAGTGATTTAGTAAGACCCTATGTCAAAATCAAAAATTAAAAAAAAGCTGAGAGTACTCAGTGTGAAGGGCTTGGGTTCAATCCCCAGGACTACAAAAAAAAAAAAACAAAAAAAAAAAACGGTATTTTCTTCATGCAAATCAGAGCATTCTTGGAGAAAATACAAATATGGATCTGGATTTATTTATTTATTATTTATATATTTATTTATGTATTTTTAAAGTTTTTATTTTATTTTTGTCTTTTTGCAGTGCTAAGGAGGGACACCAGCCCTTTGGCCATGCTAGGGAAGTACTGACCACAGAGCTGCAGCCTCAGCCCTGAATCTGCGCTTTATCCCTGGAAAACTGTGTCAGTCACTTACACTGAACGGGACACTGCTCCAAGCCCTGGGAACATAGTACAAAACTGTCTCAGAGGGCTCATCCTGTGTAGCAGATACAAATATACAAGATGAATAAGTCACATACATAATGGCGAGTATGCTGAGGAAGAAAAGTAAACCAGGGAAAACTTATAGAAGTGCAGAGCAGTGATCTTGCTGACACGGTAGGGCGGGTGGCTAGGGAAGGTAAGAAGGCACTAGGAGGCAGAGCCCTAAAGGAAGGGCGTTCAGTCATTAGCCAGTGCAAAGGCCCTGAGGTGGGACCACCCTGGGTGTTAGAAGGAGCCAGCCTGGGTAGGGTAGAGTGAGTCACAGAAAGACTAAAAGGAAATGAAATCAAAGGTAATAGCCAGAACAGTGCTGGGATCCTAGGACTGGCCATGACAACATTTAATAAATTATCCCATTAAATATCACATCACTCTTTCTTGTATGACCTACTTACTTTGAAGGGAACGTTGGGTCTCAGCTTTAGGTGAGCCAGGGACCCCAATACTGAGGAGTAATAGCATTTCCCTCAATAAGGTGAATGATGAGGTGGCCAGCTTGAGCTGGCGCAGGAAGTAGGTTTCCTGTGGCCACCCTTTGTGCGCATGCGTCCTCTGCGCCTCCCCTCCCCCCCCCATCCTGGCCTTTTCAGTAAATTCCAATAGAATCTGCCTGCCAATGCCTGCAACATTTTTGGGGTATTACATATTACACTGTCTGTGCTTCTGGGAAAAATGGACCCCACCCTTCCTCGTCGTCGTGGGCTGCAGCTCAGATCTCCGGTTCTTTTTATGGTCAAGCTTTTAGATCTAGGCTCCCCCACCCACAGCTACCTGTAATGGGAAACAAGACTCATTAAGGCCGCGCCAGATGTTATAGGGAAGGCCGGTGACAAGGGCTGTAAAAGAATTCACCAACAGGCAGGACCCAGGAAAGTCAGGAGTTTATTTAGATGGCTGGGTGTGCTGTGGACAGAGGCACGGCGGGCAAGTTCCAAGAGAGGATTGCGCAGCCAGGGCGCGAGGTGTGTTTTTCTCTTTAACAGTGACAAGGTTTATTTGAGAAAATAAAAATGAAGAATGGAGGAGAAACTCGATCTGTAGTGAGCTTGTGAGAGGGGGGAAGAAATTCCCAACCGGCTAGGGATGAGTTTTGGGAACATCAGAGGCTAAGAGCAGGGAGGATTTACTGAAAGAAAACTTCTTAGAAGGACAGAAGCGGCCAGCAAGTGAGTTGCCCCGTTGAAAGCAAATCTGTCTGCACCTCCGGTGTCTAGACAAGGTCGCTGCTTCTCAGGAGTGTGGTGGGGCCCCATGAGAGGTGTGTGCAGCTCAGGGAACTGAGGCAGGTGACTGGGCCTTGTCCTGGGATAATACAGACAGCTCCTCTCTTGTCTCTGTGGAACCACCAAGGCATGACGTTTTGTGGAAGATTAGATTTCTTCCTGTTCGGATCTTACACTGTCCTTAAAGTTCTGGTAAGCAGCCTCCTACGCTGATTGCAGTGATGGGCAGTCCTTTCTCCCACCAGGAGAGGAGCCCCGCCTGACCGCAGCTGTCTGCATTTTGACTGTTGTCTTCATTTCTTCATCCTCCACCGTCCTCCCTCCAGAATTTCCAGGCTTCAGCCCTCAGCAGTGCGGTGCGTTCTGGCTGTCCCCGGGCGTGCTGGGCAGAAGTGTAATGTTAGAGAAGTTTGGGAGCTGAGAATTCCCGTCTTTCTGTCATCACAGTTAGCACACTAAAAGACGGACAAGATGTTTGTCTTTTCTAAAAGTTGACTGAACTTATCTGAAAACAAATAGATATCTTAAAAAATACTGTAGTTGTGGGCTGGGGATTTAGTTCAGCGGCCGGCATAATCACCTGCCTTGCAAAGTGTGTGGTCGTGAGTTCGATCCCTGGTACCAATAAACAAACAAACAAACAAACAAACAACTGTAGTTGCCACACCAACACGGGTTACTAACTCAGTGGGAGGCATCGTTGGTCTAAGAAAGCTTTGTGTTCTTCTGTTCTGAAATTCACAAGACGGGCCTCAGGTGGAGCAAGAGCTGGGTGAGAAGCACTTGAGGGCGCGGTTGTGGAGTTTGGGGCTGGGGCCTACAACAGTGCAGGACTAAAAAGATCCAATCTTTAAAATGTTCTAGATCTCTGGAATGTAGGATTATTTATGAAGATTCGTGTTTTTGACACGAAGACCACCACAGGAACAGAGGCCAAACAAACTCTTGGACCCCTTGTGACTCATTGAAAGCAGGAGTTGTGTTTTCTTCCGAAGCAATCAAGGACTCAAAGCTTGGTTTTGCAACAAAACAAAACAACAACAAAGAAGGACGCTTCATTTAGGCCGGTGGATGTCCAAAAAGTAACTGAAAGCGGAACAAAGCTTGGCCTTCATTTCGCACCTGCAGCACTTGGGTCAGACCCTTGTTCATCTCTGAATGCAGGTATGTTAGCTGTTTAGGGAGCGTCTGTCTAGAGCGTGTCAAAACAAATTTAATTATCTTTAAACTTATACAGCCTATATCACCACCCTTCACCATGAAGGACGCCACAAAAAGAGGTTTCTAGGAATGTTCACCTGCCAGGGAGCTCCCAGTCTCCAGTCATTGCCCTACAACCTAAGTTCACCTCACATTCCAGTAGAGCCTCTGCAAAGCAGAGACAGCCTGGAGCAGAAACAGTCATCTCCTGGAGACTGAGCTGCCCCTCTAGCGCTGGGGCTTTCCCCAGAGCTGGCTTGCAAAACCAGAACTGAGATCAAGACCAAGTAGACGCCAGCCCATCCCAGAGAATAGGGGCAGGCGAGTCCTATTCTGCTGCAGCAGGGCTGGTGGGATCCTCTTCATCTCCTCAGGCTGAAGAGGAGGAGCAGGAGGAGGAGGAGGAGCAGCAGGAGGAGGAGGAGCAGGAGGAGGAACAGGAGGAGGAGGCCTGTGCCTCCCTCCCTCTCTCCCTCCTCCCACTTCCACTCACCCTTCCTTCCTTCCTTCCTGTTTTTTTCTTTTTGGTATGGGGATCGAACTCAAGATCTGGAACCTGCCATGCAGATGCTTATATCGCTGAGCTAAATCCCTGGCCTCCTTCCTTCTTTCCTTCCTTCCTTCCTTCCTTCCTTCTTTCCTATTTCCTTTTACTTTCTAACTCTGCCTAATAAACCTGCCTGTTTCTCACGCTGATGCATCCTGAAACTTTTCCCACTACAGTGTGTCAGGAATCTACTCTGCAGTGAGTTGAAATTTCCATCTCCTCTTTGCAGGGGTGAGGGAAGGTGGGGGGAATCTCCTCAGACCCCACCTGGAGACATTTGCACATTGGTATATGAGAAATATATTCAAGCAGAAGAATTCTCAGCTTCTCTTACATTTTGGCTTTGAGCCATTAGCTACCATGTGTGCTTCCTTGAGCAGAATATGATTTTGGAGTCACCCTGGCAAATTCTCAAGCTGTTACTGGATTGGGGCTCTAGCATGCTTCATTCCAGGTCTATAGTGTCCTAAACAAAGAACTAAACAAGTCGTACAAAAAACAGGGAAGGTGTAGATTTACTGAAGGTGGGGAAAAAGCATACTTCACAGGGCAAGAGTGGCGGTGAAGAAGACTCCCAGTGGGCTCAAGGTGAAGGGAGAGGGGCTTTAGTGTCCAAGTACCTGAATTGGCCCCTACCCCACATAAATATGCTGCTAGACAGCTGGTCTATCACGGCCTCTTACCAGCTGTAAATGAAGGATCTGGAGTAGAGCCTCTCACTGGTCTGGCCCGTAATCGAATGACAGGGTGAGTCCAGCGTCTTCTGATTGGGTTGCCCACGGTGACCAGCGCAGATCCGGATGGCGGCTCCAGAACGTCACTGGGTGGTGTCTGGTGTACGCTGTCCAGGAGCTCCAGCCCGGAGTCACTCTGGGTCCTGTGTCCGCACATGTCTTCTCTTTTTAGGAAATGTCTTGCTCAACCACTTAGTCATGGATTTTCATGACTTTTGACACATTTTGCCCAGTTGTTTGTCCAGTTGGCCCCTGGCCTAATCTTCTGTCTCAAAGTTAGAACACTTGAGTTGTTGTGGCCGACTTTTTGCTTTTCAGGTTTGTGTTAGCTCCTGAGGGTCCACATGGAGCAGAGGGTGAGCTTCTGCGGGTGACTTTCTGTGGTTCATTTCTTTAGAGCAGATCCCTCTGTCCCATTCAGAGAGAAGACATCACGTGTGGGTTACTTTGACGCTGCCTCTGCTCCTATGGTCTGGGGACTCTTTGCAGCAAGGACATTTTGTTGTTTCTTGATGCCTAGCATCTGGACTGTAAAGACTGTAAATAACCTTTTGGCTCATTCCGTCCAACTGTTTCTTTTATGCTTCCTGCAGTCCTTCATCATTGTTGCCAGCTAGTCCAGCAACTTTGTTCACTTTTGCAGTTAGAAACAGTATGTCAGCTGAGAAGGGAGGCCCTGAATCCACAGACTGAGAAAGGCCTTTGGTTAGAAGATAAATTTCGGTGTGGTTAATATGTTCAGTTTAATTGTAATTCAGTTCAATTAAAAAAGAAGAAAAGGAAACTTGGCTAATGTCTCTTTTCTTTTGTCAGATAAAACTATGCTGTGGATGGAGACTGAAGAATCTTTGGAACATAGCTAAATGGTAAAACCCTGTACTCTATTTTCTATCCTAATGAAAAATAGTCCCAAACGCCAGACCACAATAGGAAAATGCTTAATAGTGCCTCTACCCCAATAAGCCATCTTTCTTGTCTCCACCAACACAAACAAATTTTATGGTCCAGTATTTATATGAATCACTCTGCTGTGAAAACGATAGCGAATGTAATAACCCCAGACAGCTGCAATTATCTAAATGTCTTGCTATTAGCCATTTGAATGGCTAAAGCCTTGTAATCAGATCAGAGTGAATGCTAATTGAAATCTAATAGAGCTTACATCTGTGTGATTAGGTATCAGAATCTGATTCCAATATTGTTAAATTACAGACAGGGCTCATCAAGTCACTCTAAAAATAAATCTTGTAACTCATTTGCAAAAATGATGGATTCTTTCAATAAGGGAAGAGCAACCTGGACCCCGTGTGTATGGCATTACCGCCACCTACTGGGAATTGGTAGAACTTCAGAGGCAGCTTGCCTTTGATTTGGGCATGGTTATAGTGCATTTGTTTTTCTGACCCAAAAGTTTTTTTTTTTATTTTTTTTTTTCCTTCTCTCTCTTCTTTTTCGAGACAGGGTCTTACTATGCAGTTCAGGCTGGCCTCAGACTTACAGTGACTCTCCTGCCTCAGCTCTGAGTGCTGGAATTATAAGTAAGGACGTGCCACTGTGTGAAATTTCCCAAGAGGTTTCTTGACTATTGACAGAAATTGCCCCAGTTTTTGATTCTTTGATTCAATGTGATTAATCATCATAGAAAATTTTTTTTAAGTGCCAGGAACCGAACTTAGGACCTCATGCTTGCCAGGCTTGTGCAGCTGAACTATATCTCCAGCTGTCATGTAAAATATTGATAACCATCATTTCTAGAAGAAGCAGCCAAAATTGCAGACACATTTATATTCATTTACTTCAGAGAACAGTGGAGGCCAAGGAGTGCCGAGGAGATGGATGGCTTTTGTGTCTCTGTCTTGGAGACTCGAGAGAATGACCCTGAGCTCCATGCCCAGCTTAGTGCACATTCTTGGGGCTTAGTTTCTGCCGGTGGAAAAACCATGTCTTGTTCGTAGTATCCCTAGACTAGATGGTGTGTGCTGAGTCTCCGCCGTGTATGAGCACTTCTCACTGCCAGTTGACTACAGAAGCATAGAATGTGGCCCCGGCTCAGGGTGTTTAGTATCGGTTCAGCTGAGAGAACAAAGGGAAATAACAGAGCGGAGCACGCTGGTCCTGCAGGATTGGCTTCTGCCATGTGGGGGTCTCCTGAGAATGAGTGTCTGGGAGGTCAGTTTTCTGCGACTTTGCACACACTACAAGGCCTGCTAAGACAGCGTGGCTAATTATGTTATGCTTTGTAAGGCAAAGGGAACTTGATTGTGTAATGCATGATCCTGGGGTGTGAGGGATAATGGAGGCAGGGTAAGCCAGCTATGCTGCCTAATGTTACCAGCGATACAGAAACCAGGTCTACATGTCTGCACACTGGATTTGGCCTGAGTTAGCTGGATCGGTTTTCTGTGGTCCCGGGATCAGCCCCAGGGGCTCTGTGCTGAGCTATATCCTCAGCTCTTACTTGGTATTTCCAGGTAGAATGTGCAGGGGGAGGCTGGGATTATGAGTGTGCACCATTACACCCAGCTATGTTTAGTTCTTATTAATTATGATTATCAGATACCAATTTAGAGTGTGATTTGTTCAAGTTTTAGGAATAATTCAGAATATGCAGAACTCCAGAATGCTAAATATGACTCTAATGTTTGTAATTGAAGATCTTCCCAATGTAAACTGTTTTTTCATGTGTTTGAGACAGGGCTTCCCTGAGTAGTTCAGACTGAACTAGAATGCACTGTGTACCCCAGGCTGGCCTCGAACTCATGGTGATCCTCATACCTTACCTTCCGAGTGCTGCAATTACAGGTATGTAACTTTTCACTTGACAGTCTAATTAAAAGTTGGTAAATATATATATATATATATATATATATATATATATATATATATACATATATATGATGCAATTATCATTTAAAATTTTTTAAAAAATTTTTGAGATAGAATTTCACTATGTAGTTTAAGCTGGACTTGAATTTCTTTTTTTTTTTGTAGGTCAGGCTGGCTTTGAACTCACCATGTAGTCTAGGCTGGCCTTGAATTCAGTGATTGTCCTATCTCAGCCTCTCAAGTGCTAGAATTAGAGACATATGCTACCACGCCTTTTTTTCTTTTTCTTTTTTTTTTTTTTAAACAAAATCTCATTAGGCATTCCAGCTTGGTCTAGGCTGACCTTTAACTTGTAGTGATCCTCCTGCCTCAGCCTCCTGAATGCTGGAATTACGGCATACACCACCACTCCTGGTTTATTTTGCCATAATTTTATACTCTTAAGTTGCAAAATAGCACAGAGAGACCCTATGTCCTTCACTAGCTTCCTGCAGTGGTATTAATATAACCAGCAGACTGACACGGCAGCACAAGTCACTGTGGATCTTACTCAGGTGTCACAGGTCTTATTCTTGTTGTCATTGTGTTTTGTCACACAGTTGTATGAAATGTCCAGATGTGTGTAGCTGCTACTGAGACCAGGACACAGTATGCTGTGACCTTCCGCATCCCCACCCTCTGGAAGGGACTGTTCTGGCCTCTGTCACTACCATTTGGTCATTTTCAGTCTGTTCCTTCAGCAGGAGTGCAGCCCGTGAGCTTTTGGGTCATTTTTGGTATTTATCTCTCATAAACAAAACTGCTATAAACATTCATGTACAGTTTTTTTTTGTATGAACATAGCTTTATTCCTCTTGGAAAAATACTTCATTTTATAAGGTTTTAAGTGGTAATATAGACTTCGTAAATAGCAGTGTTGGTGTTGTAGTCAGGGGTTGTACACAGAGAACAATTAAGATTAGGACACATTATAATATTTTTATAATGGTCACTGGAAGTTAACACAGGAAAATGCAGGAAATCTATCCACAACACCAAGACATAGATTATTTAGTCAAGAGCCAGAACCCCACGGCAATGTCCCATGAGTCCAGATAAAAACCCAGAGCTCAGGACAATGCCTCCCACGAGTCCAGCTGGAGGTCCAGAGCCCACAAGAAGGACTCACGCCAGTCTCTTTTACGGATCCGTGCCGGGAAGACCCAAGGGTCAGCAGTGGAAGCCAGAAAGTCTATGCCAGCAGGATGAAGGAACTGTGCTAGTGGGATGAGGGTTCTACGCTGGAACCAAGAAGTCACAGTCACAACAAAGAGCAGGGCTGACCTGAAAGGCACCACAGCCGTCCTCAGCGACACGGAGGCCCCAAGCTTCCGATGACGACACAGTCGGGTACGTGCCAGGAAGCAGCGTGACAAGCTCATCCTGGAGACCAAGCAGCACACATCTTCTCCTCCGGAGCCAGGAAGCAATGCTCGATGTGAAGACCAAAGCTTCTCCAGGAGAACCAACAGCTCAGACAACAACTTGTAGAAGAACCCACAATGCCTCCTTAACGCCTCAACCCTTTACACCTCCCTTCTTCTCCACCTATTTATCCTGGCAACTTTCCTCAGGTGGAGCATCTTTGCTCAATGCATGCTGATGTAATCCAGCTGGCGTTAAGTTGACCCCCAGTTTTCAATCCATAACAGTTGGGTTCAGGTTTGAGATAAATTACTCTGAGTTACATTAATAACAATAAACAGTGAGAAAAGATTGAAAAAGTGACTGGAGAAGAGATAGTTAAGAGTTGGTGGCAGAGGAGATAAGCGCTGAGGTTTTTCTTTGGAGAAAACAATGTTTGGAAAACCAGAAGGTGTGAGACTTGTGGGCAGCCTTCCACACAGTGGAAATGCGGGATTGAATTATAAACAAAACATTGAAATGTCTTGGGACATTGACAGCAACCAGCCTCTGGGGGATAAACGTAATTAGTGGAGAGAATATTAATAAGAAGAAGATGAGCTGAGACAGGAGAGCACATCCATTCACTCATCTAACAAATCCTTCCTGGGCCCGTACTATTTGTCGCGTATGTTGTTGTAGGCCTAAGATAATCAGTTAGTAGCTGATGTACAATCCCTGTGTCTGCCTCAGAAGCTTCTGTTCCAGAGCGGGTGGGAGATCACAGACAATCCGTAAGGCCTGTCAGGCAGAGCTCACACTGTGGACAAACACCAAGCAGAAGGAGAAATTGGAGTGAGGTGGGAGGTGCTATTTTAGAATGGTTAGTCCGGAAGCCTTCCCTAGGAGGTCAGAGCTCAGAAGCTTCTGGAAAGCTGAGATCACAGGAAGATAAAGAGCTGGGTCAGGCCTGGCTCAGCGGAAGCTGTTATGACAGACATTTCAGAGGCCCATTTCTTTTTGTTTGTTCCTTAGTGTCCAAAGCCATGGTAGTCACACGGAGAGTCCTCACGAGGCAGTGTTGTATTCTAACTTTACCTACATCGTTCTGTGCTCCAGTGAAACCACATGAAGGATAAAGGATGAGCGCCATGCCAGGGTAAGCTGGTGTTACCAGTGAGCGTGCAGCTCCTGTGTCCTCCCACACCATGACGATGCAATGTAGCCATTCTCTAAAGAGAGGTGTTAGCACTGGAACAAACGCTGCTGGGACTTTTTGTTTGCTTTTGTCAATACTGGTGGATACCAGCATCCAAATTTGCTTGGGAGACCAGGAAAAATGGTGGAAGAGCTCACCCCACTCCTGCCTCGCTTGCGGTGCGGACAGGGTCCTCCCGCCAACACCCTTGGCAGCTCTCTCTACACAGGATGCATGGTTTTGCTTTTACACTCGACTCCTTCTTTCCAGGGTAGGAGGGCAAGGTATTGGAAAGGGATGAGCTTGAAGTCAGTTTTAAAGAAACAAAATATTATGGTATAATTACACGCCTTTGAGCCCCTTCTCAATCAGCTCAGTTTCTTTATGTTTCTTCCACTCTGTGTTTTCATACTTTTGGAACAAATAAATACATCCATAGAGGCTATTATTATTTTTGTTATTGAATTATTGCTGTTCCTATTTGCAGTATTGAATCCAGGCCCTTTGCCCTGAGCTAAATCTGCAGCCATTTTCATTTTTAATTTTGAGACAGGGTCTTGCTAAGTCACTCAGTTGCCAAGTTGGGGAGGCGGGGCTCAAACTTGTCATCCTCCCGCCTCAGCCTCCCAGAGTGGCTAGTGACACTAGTACAGTCAGAAACAGGGAAGCTGTGTGAGTCACTTCTCTCCATTTAACCTCAAACACAACACCGCCCTAAAGATTCTCCAGGATTAAGTTTAGGAGGGCTCCATGCCTAACATGGCAGATTGCTGACACCAGTGAGATGACAATGGGAAGCCCCGAGGGTCAGAGGGGTCCTGCCTGCCTCTAAATACCGGAAGGAAGGGTCGAGTTATCAAGTCCCTGTTTCTCCACCCTCTGCCTGTTCTCACTGCTGCTGTTTGTCCTCAAGAAACACAGCTGCTTACTACACCAATTCTTTTCTTGTCATGCACAAGAACTGGACTATTTTTGGCCACTCACCTGTACCAGGACGATTATTGTTTATGGTTTACACACATGACATTCTGGAGGTATTTTTTCACTTGCCTTTGCATTCATGCTTGTGATTTGAGGCTAACCCGCCCTAAAACACAACGTTCACTTATTTAACATCAACTGCTCTGGATTTACCCATTTTTAATTGGCGGTCCCCCGTGTTCCACAGTTGCTGCTGATGCCACAGTAAAGACTTCTCGTGCTTGTCCTTTCAGGCACGTGCATGTTGATTCCTCAAATGTGGAGCCCGACCTACCCAGAACTTGTTGGGAGTAAAAATTCTTGGGCCTTAATCTAGGCTCAGAAATTGGGGGTAGACCCTGGAATGTTTTTGTTTTTTGTGGTACTGAAGATTGAATCCAGGAGCTCCTGCATGCTAGGCAAGTGTTCTGCCACTGAGTTAGGGTCCTTTAAAAAAACTATTTCTCTTTTTTTTTTTTTTTGTCTTTTTCATTTTTTATCGGTACCAGGGATCGAACTCACGACTGCCTGCTTGCAAGGCAGGCGCTTATGCCGCTGAGCTAAATCCCCAGCCCAAAAAAACTATTTCTTTTGAAATGGGATCTCACTAAATTACCCACCCTGGTCTTAAACTGATGACCTACCTGCCTCAGCCTCCTGAGCGCTGGGATTATAGACATTCAGCTGAAAGTTGTATTTTATTTATTTATTTATTTATTTTTTGAAAGTTGTATTTTAATAAGCTCTCTAGTGATTCTGCTGCACACTAAAGTTTAAGAAGTACTCCTGTAGCTGTGCATTTTATGGTGGAATTGCTAGGCTACCATGAAATAGGAAAGAAGAAATAAAAAATAAACAGAAAGGAGACAAGGAAAAATTATAGTTTTAAAAATGAAAACTTCAGCTTCAGGACACAAGCAGTGAGTGTAACTTTTTTCCTTTCTCTTCTTCCTGAACGCAATAAGCCTGGACAATTCCCTTTCACCTGTAAATGGTTCAATCATTCTTTTTTATTTGTAATGGTCTTCTTTTACCTGTGAACAGACCAGTTTTTCGGCTATAAATTAGGCTTTCCCCTACACTAGACCACTATGGCATTGTGGGTGGGCCAGCCTCCCCCACGACCAAGATTATTAAATTCCTCAGGTTTCTACCACCACAAACACAAATACCCCAGTTCAAACTGCAGTGCGTCTCACTTCCCTGAGCACCTGCTCTTCATCCTTTTTTTTTTTTTGTCATCTTTTTTGAGACAGGGTTTTGCTACACAATTCATATGGGCCTTGAACTCATAGGTAGCAAATTTGTAACCCAGGCTGGTTTGCAAGTGTTCCTGCCTCAGTCTCCTGAGTGCTGAAATTATAGGTGTGTGCCACCAAGCCCAGGTTGCACTCCCCTTTTGAATGGGTACTAAAATCTCTGTGCAATAAAACCTTCCTGTACCTCTTACTGGTGCATCCTAAAAATTCTTTTTCCATCTCTGAGCAGTCTATGCTTAGGGTGGTTAAGTTCCTTCTTTCAGATTTGGGAACCTCTCAGACGCAGTCTGGTAACATTTTCTCTTGACAAGTCAGCCAGGAGATAAACAGCAGGACTATGCACTTGATAAATTCAGCCAAAGGCTTTTCACTTTTCCTTCTCCATTTTCCCCAACTCCTTGCCCTCTTAAGCATGGGGGGAAGTGGTGGATCATGGTGGACATAGCCCAGACAGGTGTACAAGTCTCCTTGTCCCATGATCCCTCACTGCTTCCTGCTAGCCTTACACGAGCTCTTTCTCCTCTGTGAGGCCCCCTGCCATGCTGCCCTAGCTGGGAACCAGCTGCTTGTGGACTGAAACCTCTACAAACTGTGAGGCAAAATACATCTCTCCTCCTTTAAATTGTGGCTGTCAACTATTTTGTTCCAGCAATGAGAAAGTAACTAATGTAAGCTATGATAATTACTTCTAACATCATGATATATTAAATTCATTTCTATTTCCCAAGTGTACAGGACTTCTAGGATATGAAACTTAGGAACACATCTTATACTGATGTCCTCCAGAGTAAAGCTGCTTGTGATGATGGACTCTTTCAGGTTTATGTTTATGTGATTGCTGTGTAACTATATGATGCTAGTTACATGTGCCTAAACACTATACAGTCAAGGCAGTGTCATTACAACGATTAAAGACTAGACAGGGCTGGGGATGTGACACAGTGGTAGAGCTCTTCCCTTGCACGTGCATGACCCTGTGTTCGATCCTAGCACCATACACACAAAACCCAAAGCAAAACAAAACATAAAAACCCCACAAAAAACACTTAAAGACTGGACATTAGTGAACTATCAAGTACATCTGTAAACAAGTAAATTCTAGCTAGAAAATCACTCTATTTTAGGTAGCAAATTTATAATGAGGATTTATTTGTCATGTAAAGATAAAGATAGCTGATTAAAAAGTTATTTCATACTAAAATGGAAACTTAAATATATTGTAGGGATAATAACAAAAACCCTAATTGTTCCGGTATCATGTCATCATAATTGTTATGCAAAAATGCTGTTTTATCTTTTTCGCTTTTTTTTATCGGTACCAGGGATCGAACTCACGACTGCCTGCTTACAAGGCAGGCGCTTATGCCGCTGAGCTAAATCCCCAGCCCCTGCTGTTTGATCTTGACTTACATTTTCCTTATAATTCTTTGTAACTGGGGGCTGAAATATAACTTCTCAGACAGTATGTTAAAAGATGGTAGGCCAGGGGCTGGGGATTTAACTCAGCGGCATAAGCGCCTGCCTTGCAAACAGGCAGTCGTGAGTTTGATCCCTGGTACCGATAAAAATGAAAAAGACAAAAACAAAACAAAACAAAAAGATGGTAGGTCATTACCAACAGCACAGATAAAATATAACACTGGCTCCTAATCCTAACGCTGACCATGATTAATAGAGGTGAGTTCTTCTCTAATCATACTTTGTACTTTTAAAGCATCCAGTATTCAAAAAACAATTCCCATTTCAAGACTGGTGCAACTGACTTTCTGGGTGTTCAACAAATGAGGCTTGGAGACCAAAGCGAAGCAAGGAAATTGGGCTAAGAGAACAGTTACTATTTTGCCTCCTATCCTCCAAGGCCAGCCAGGCCTCTCTAAAAGATACTGCAACTCTGGTGAGTCACCCAACCTCCTGAACAGCGAGATTGCTGGATGCCAGAGGACAGGAGTCAACCGTGTGCATTATGCTAAAAGGAAGGTCACTCAAGAGGGGAGTGTCCCCATGCTCCCAAAGGAGGTCATGTGGGCAAGTAGGACTGTGACTATCCTGGTAGATGATGACACAACCGACAGAGTGAAAGACTGACAGGAACTAAGAGGCTCCTCAGCCGCCCTCAAAGTAACCTCTGAGGAGTCTAACTGACCTGGACAAAGACCCCATCTATCTGTCTGTCTACCATTTATTTAGATTTTGATTAACATAAGTCTTGTTTGTGTGGTTGTTTGAGACAGGCTCTTGCTATGTAATTCAGGCAGCCTTGAACTTGTGAAGACCCTCTTGCCTCAGCCTCCTGAGTGCTGGGATTATAGGTATGTGCCACCACACCTGGATTAACACAGGTTTTATTTTGATTTGGTTTTAAATACTCAATAGGCAAGTATAACAAAAAAAGACGTACAGAGTAAGTAAAAATAATACTAAACACAAAGCTAGCGTACATATAAAAAGGGGCTCCAAACACTGCGCCCTGCTGGCAGTCTCCAGCTCCACGTGTAATTTAGGTCATAAGTTTTGACTGCCAGTCCCGCTACACCTTCTAAAATGTGTGCTTCAGCCTCTCCTATTGTGTTCCAACTGCGTATCTAATGTACCTTCAAGCACCCCTCAGGTAAAGATTTGCCTCTTCGTGTAGGTGTGGCTCTGCAGTAAGAATGGCAACATAAGGAACATTCCTAAATGTTTTCTTGATGCTATTGTGAAAATCCTTTTTTTCCTCATTTCTTTCAATGAGTTCATTAGTAGTGTATAGGAATGTATGGATTTTTGTGTGATTGTTTTGTATCCTGATACATTGCTGGATTGGTTATTAATTCCAAGAGTCTTTTCGTGGAATTTTTTTGAGGTTTTTTTTGTTTTGTTTTTTGTAGTGGGAATCAAACTCACAATCTGGCGCTTGCCAGGGAGGTGTCTGTGCTGCTGAGATAGCTCCCTGGCCCTTGAGGCTTGTAAGTAGGGTATTTTGTCATTTGCAAGTAATGATATTTTGACTATATGTATCTATTTTACTTTTTTGTTTTGCTCAATTGCTCTGGCTAATGTTTCAAGGACTACTTTGAACAGGAGTGGTGACAGTGGACATCCTTTCTTGTTCTTCATTTTAGAGAGAAAAATTTCAGTTTTTCCTCAATTGCCATGATGTTGGTAGTAGGTTGGTCACAAATGGCTTTCACTGATTGAAATTAGGCCAATCTATACCTATTTTCTTCAAGGTTGTTATCATAAATGGATGTTGGGTTTTGTCAAAGGCATTTTCTGCCTCTATTGGGAGAGTCATGATTTTTTTCTCTGTTTCTCTTTTGGTGGGATCCCTGTTGCTTTTGGGATCAGGGTAATGCTAGGTTACAGGAATGATTTTGGGGCTGGGTGTGGCGGTGCACACCTGTAATCCCAGCACTCAAAGGCTAAGGGACAAAGATTGCTGTGAGTTCAAAACCAGCCTGAATTACAGTGTTACTACATCTCAAGAAGAAACAGATGAGTCTCATAACATGAAATCTTGGGTAGCTTCTAGTCATTTTGGAACACCCTGCTGTTGATGGCTTATAAGCCAGGGACTAATGATTATGGACCAATGTAGGACTTTCAGGCAGTAAATCAGGCCACTGAAACTACCATCCCACAGTACCAAATTCATTCCCATTAACAGCACTCATTCCGGGGAATGCTGCCTGGTTTACTTGCTTGGGCTTCAAAGATGTTTGATCACCACCTTACACCAGTCTGTGGGTTACACACATCAGCCCGGCTTCCACCTCGGAATGTAGGCCCACATTCTTCCTGGCCTGAGCTGGAGCTTCTCTGGCACCCACCCTCTCTCCTGGGTGCAGTAGCGGTTCAGGCCTAGGGTGTAACTCTCCTCTGGGGGTTGGTGTCACCTCGGTCAGGTCACTCATTTGGCTGCCGAGGAGACCCAAGGTGCAGATCCAGGTGGGATCTGGTAGTCAAACTGTAGCAGCGCAGGCAGGTGACACTCCTTTGCTCCTTCCCAGGAGGTGGAAATGTCTCACAAAATTCTTACCTTGGATAAAGAGAACATCAAATCCTCTAACATAGGTCTAAGCTGGAAATACTGCATGTCCCTGGCAGGTCCTCTGATGGGAGATAGAGCTCACCAGTGTCAGGGGCAGGAACACAGTGCATGTTGGCTTGTGAGACCCGGAATAAGTAGCGGGGAGCACTCAGCATCCCAAGTGCACCCTTGCCACTGCCCCATCCGGGAAGGAGCAGGCCTGGGGGGTGAGGCTCCACAGATCCTGGCCACTGGAACTTGCATGCAGGGAGGTCTGTAGCCTTCTTCCTCTCCAGCCCACACCCTCTACTTACACCTCGCTTGCCCTGTGCTTTTGTTTTGCTTTCCCAGGTTTGATTCAGCACCTTACAGTACAGTGCCTCAAGGTTTAGTTTTGTCACTGTAGAAATCAAATGAGTCTAGAGGTTATTTGGGTTTAATTATCATTCACTGAAACAATCAATGTAGAGGACTGAATCATTCAACTGGTTGATGGTGGGACATTTAGGTAATTATAACTGTTGAATGCTTTCTCTTCTGCTAATTGTGTTTATTGAACAAGATTTATATGTAGGCCTCGGAGAGGAGTTGGTGAGGCTGAGGGTATCACAGCCAGCACCTCAGAAGGAAATGATGCAGAGAGGTCCTCCTGAAGCTGACGCTGATCTGTCCTTCCTGCCTCTTTCTCTTTTCCATAGAGAACACTTCACAAATTTGAGTGTCATACTTCTGCAAGGGCCATGCTAATCTTCTGCCATGCCATTGTGTTCAGAGATGTGCAGGGCCTATGAGGGAACAAAGGGCAGGGACACTCCGGGCCTAAAGCTGTTTGTTACTCATTAAAGACATTTTTTGTTTTCTCCTGAGGCAGCCCAGGATCCGAAAGTTGCTTTTGCTAACAAAAGATGACTCTTCACTTGAACCTACAGACGCTCACTGGATGACCAAAAGCAGAAAAAGCTTGGCCTTCCTTTTCTATGTGTCTTCTTCCTTACCTTAAAACCTCAGGTCCGACTCCTGCCCAGCTCACATAGAGGCTCACCTCCACAGGGGGTGAGCTGATCTAAGCACTGATAACACAGTGTTCATAAATCCTTAACTTGCTCAGCTGTCTTACTTACCTTTCTCATTGCTGAGACAAAATACCCACAGCCCAAAGTTAAAGGGGGAAAGGTTTATTTAGCTCAGTTTGTAGAAATTCAGTCCATAATCAGTTGGCTCCAAGGCAAGGTGGTTTGGCAGAGGGGCACCACAGAGGAGAACAGTTCATGATGCCCACAAGGTAGCAAAAGCAACAAGGGTGGTGGGACAACTGTCTTTCTGTCTCTTATATTGTGTGCGGGCTGTCCGTTGTAGGGTGGGCGTAGCGCTCACACCCTTAATCCTAGCAAGAACTGTGCCAAACACATCCTCAATCCCAGCATCACACACTGGATTGTCGCCTCTGAAAAGCCCATGTCCCATAACTACATGAGGCTTTGACGAGACATCTAGACACAAATCCTAACTCCAGATTTCCTCCTCCCACTTCAAGACTAACATCCAGATGGGAGATTTACAAGGGGAGCAACTACCAGTGGGTGCCTGGACATCTCCAGGTATTGCCCGAAACCTACAGTCACCTTGATACTAGCAAATCTTCTGCAAACTTGAGACGACCTCAAACAGAAACAGCTGTCTCATAGAGTCTGGCTTGCCCCTGAAGGAATAAAGGTTTCTCTGGAGCCACTCTGCAAAAACTAGAACTGAGGTAAGGATCTGTAAGACCTTAGCCCACTCCAGCAAGTCCGTCTGGTTCCTTTGTGAATGGGTCTGTCCAGTCTTCTCAAACTGCCCCTCCTCCCTATTTCCTGTTACTTCCTAACCCAGTCTGGAAATCAGCCTGGACCTCCCACCGAGGCGTCCTGAAATGCAAGACAGTAGATGTGGGACCTGTCTGGGTGGAGCTGGGGTCTTCATCTCCTCTCCTCAAGTCCTGTCTGCCAGCCGTTCTGCTTTTGGTACATGCGCTGCTGAGGCGAGCCTGGACCCACTTCCTGCTCTTTCCTTGATGCCTCGTGGCCAGGTTTTCAGTGTCATGCAAGCAGACAGTCTCCGGAGCATCCTCATAGATCCAAACACTCACTGAATGTTCAGGCAGTAAAATTTATTACGGTAAAAGGTGCATTGCCATGAGTGCCCGTCACTTTGCGCACGCTTATCTCCTGATTCCTGCCACTTTCTGAAGCAGCTCTGGAGTCCTGTCTGTTGTCTTGGCTGCCTGGTGTCCTGAATCGATTAAAGTCATTTACCTTTCATGGTTATTTGGACAGTGAGGGAAGAAGAGTCAGAAGTCACATGGTGCCATCCAGAGCACAAGCTGGATGAGGACACACTGTGAAGTCTTTACAAGCCTGCCTTTTCCACGATCTGACACTCACAGCAGTATTCGCTGTATTTTTAATCACACAGTGTAAGGACAATCCTGAAAGAGGGCTTCCAGGAATTCTTCAGGAAGTGGTGAGCACAGTGGAATAAGTGTGTTCTAAGTGAGGGGGAGTATTTTGAGATGAATAATGACATTATGTAGTTCACTGTAATTAAAAAAATTGAACACACATCATATTTTTTGAGGCTGAGGCAGGAGGGTCATGAATTTTAGACCAAACTGGGCTAACACAGTGAGACTGGAGCCAAACTGAGTTATACTGGGTGATGGACAGAGAAGGGGAGATTTCTAAGAGAGGGAAGAGAGAGAGAGAGAGAGAGACAGAAAGAAACAAAGAAAGCAGAAAGAGAAGAAGGAGAAGAAGAAAGAAGGGAGAGAGAAAGGGAGAGGGAGAGAGGGAGAAAAACTTTGCTTTCTGTGTTGCCCGGTTTGGCCTGAATAATTAGGCTCAAGGAACTCTCCCACCTCAGCCTTCCCGCTGCTGGGGCCACAAGCACACACCACTGAATCCAACTCTCAGTGCTGAGTCACATATTTTATAACTCTAACAACGGAGGATTTTTATAGAGGAGAAATTTTTTCTTTTACCCTCTTAGGCTCGGTAATTAGCCCTGTAAGTTTAGCTGACACAGGACAGACAGACTAACGGGACCAATGACATAAGTTTTACCAGGGATCAAACTCACAACCTTGCATTTACCAGGTACATGCTTGTGCTGCTAATAATATTAATTTTTTTCCCCTTGTGTGGTAGTTTTATAAAAATGAAATGAAAACTTGAAGTGCTTATTTTTGGGAGCCCTCAACCTTTTTTTGTGGTACTGAGGATTGAACTCACGACCTCATGCTTGCCAGGCACTTATGCCACTGAGCTAAATCCCCAGCCCTCCCTCAACCCTTTTTAACAAAAGGAAATGGCTGAGAAGGAAAGGAAATGGCTTGAGAAGGTGATAAAGCATGGCAGGGTGGGAAATCTGGGAAGGGAAGGTGGGAGGCTGGGGACGGGATGGGTTGGTTTGTGCAGACTCATCTGGGATATGACATCTCTGTTAGTGACAGTCATTTTCTTCCTGGTCCACATGGTTGCTACCCTCAAAGGAAAGTGTATGCCCTGCTTTGAAGCAAATAAGGAAAGGGCAGAAAACTGCCATTAGTTCAAAATAACACTTATGCCAAAGTGGCACATTCTGTGCCAGCATGTCTTATGTTTCAGGCTGGCTTTGAACTTACTGTGTATCCCAAGCTGGTCTTGAACTAGCAGTGATCCTCCTGCCTCAGCCTCCTGAGTGCTGGGATGATAGCTGTGCACTACCACATTTGGCCAGAAATATTTGTTTTGAAAGATCTTTTGGGTTCTCATTTTAAATCAACTTTTTTCCTTCCCTGCCCTGGAAACACAATCTCTCTGATTCACCTGATTGCAGCCATTTCAGTTAATGAAACCGTTTCCTGCAGAAGGGAGCTTGGCCTGCACTGTGGGATAATTGCACCCTATTTCTGCCTACCCTGAGCTGCAGTCCTCTCTCTCTCTCTCTCTCACATTAATTGCTCTGTGTTTTCCCTGAGTGATGTGCTGACCTTAGATTTTTCAGGCAGTTCTTTCTTGCTAGTATCTAGCTGCATTCTAGCAGAGGACAATTAATTCTTTCAGATTTTGGAGCATCGTATAAGGAAACTCCACGGCATTAGATTTCAGGACTTGTCTAAGGTTGGTCTCAATGAAAGAGTTCCCTTTGATGTAAACTTTTACCCTTTGAGTCCACGAAGCTCTAAACGTCTTGGATCCACACAGTGAGGACCTCACCTCAGAGCCAATGGGCCACCAGGCCAAGGAGGTCCCTAAATTCCAGGCCAGCTGCCATATGCATTGCACCCAGGCCCCCACCGTGGGCCCTTTTTTTGCTCCCAATTCAGACACCGTGCTGCTCTCTGCCTGCAGTGGACTGTGCAGCTGGCCTGTGGGGCGGGCTGAGAAATCAAAAGCAGCCTTGGGAGCCTCCGCACACAGGCACAGGCATCCGAGAGGCGCCATCTGCGACAAAATGGGGTGAGAAGCTGCCAGGCTGCAGCCTGACCCAGGGTGGTGTGTGTGTGTGTGTCGGGGTGGGGGGCATCGACAGCAGAGCCCTGGGGAAGGCTGGGGCCAGGCTGGCACAGCCCTGCATAGCTGATTTCATGGGCTCCACACAGATTCACTCACTGCCCACCCGGACTGTGCTGTGTGCTGTGAGGCCCACGGCACCAGGTATCAGAGTGTGAAGAAATCACACAGCTCGGTCCCTTTCAGCTCGCAGCTGGCCAGCAAGCTTCACTGGGAGATGAGCTGAAAGAGGCAAGCCAGCAAGATTCAGCTCCTCCGTGCCTTTGACAATGTATAGAATGAAGTTTTTTGGAGACGGGGTCTTACTGTGTAGTTCAGATTGGCCTGGACTCACTATGTGGATCAGGCTGGCATTGAACTCGCAGTGATCTTCCTGCCTCAGCCTCCCGAGTGCTGGGATTACAGGTGTGCACCCCCACACCTGCCTTGTCCTGATACAGTACCTTCAGAAACCTTAGTGTTAACTCAATCATTACATTTCATGGCTTCCTCAATGTTGCTAAGGCTTTTAATTGTCTTGATCTAGTTCGTAGGGGCTTACATTTATTTTACAACTGGCTGCTTTAAAATTGCCTTCCCCCTCTCCACTTACCTCCCTCCCTTTACCTCTATCCTCTCCTAAAACTGACTTTTCTTCATTATAATTATTTACAGGTTACTAATAGAAAATGGAAAATGGAAAAATACAAAAATTGAAATCAACTACATTCTTACCAAAGTTAACCACAATCTGTATCTTGACATATAGCCTTCCATGTGGTATATAACAGTTAAGTCTCATTTTATTTTTTAAGAATTTTAAGTTTTTCAATGGCAAATAAATACATGAAAAAATGTTCAGCTTTATTGATCATTAGAGAAATGCAAATTAAAACAACACTGAGGTTCCATTCCACTCCAGAAAGAATGGCCAGGTTAAAGAAAACTACCGACAACAAATGCTGGAGAAGCTGCAGAGAAAAAGGAACTCTCCTGCACTGTTGGCGGGAGTGTAGACTGGTGCAACCATTGTGGAGATAAGCCTGGAGGTTTCTCAAAAGGATTGCAGGTCCCATTTGACCCAACTGTTCCACTTCTGGGAATATTCCCAGAAGAACTGAAAACATCATACCACAGTGATATATGTGCACCCAAGGTATGGACAGCTATTTTGAAGAGAACAAGAGACATTATGGTAGTCACTGTTGATTTTCCTTTTGTTTGATATTGAAGACCTTTAAAGCTTTCGTTCTTTTGTTTTGAATGGTTTTATACTATTTTTTGTCTTGTTTGAATTCATTGTGTGTGAAGATATGGACAACTATTTCGAAGAAAACAAGAGACATTATGATAACCAATGTTGATTTCCTGTTGTCTTGTTTTGAAATCTTGATTGCACTGCTTTGTTTTACTCTCCTTAAAATAAAAAAAATTAGTATTTAATATTTTCTTTAAAAATTATTTGAGACAGGGTCTCACTATGTAGTTCAGGCTGACTTCAGACTTGCGAGGATCCTCCTGCCTCAGCCTCCCAAGTGCTGAGATTACAGGCAGGCACCACTACACTTGTTTTCATTCATTTTTTTTAGTACACAATGACCACAGTCACCGTGGGAAGTTGGACCGGAGTCCTTCTCTTCTTCTTCTTCCCTTCCCCACCTCGCCCTCCCCCTTCTCTCTACCTCTTGGTTCTCCTTCCATTTGTGAAACATCTATCTCCCAGTTTCCTGTTACCTGTCTTTTACTTTTCTCTTTAAATTCTTTGGACTTTGGGTTTCTCATACTAGAGAAACCATGAGATAGTTAAGCTCGTGTGACTCCTCGTGATCCCAACACTTACATTCCGTACAGTAGCAAGGACCAAGAACTAACGAGTACAGAGCTGAAGAGCAAACACTAGGTCTGGCCCTGCGAGCCTCTGGACATTTTGCTGTCACCTACTCAGTTCACAACCTTGGTTTATGTCTTTTTTCCGGTTAACGACGAATATATATAAGCTGTCCACTGCATCATGGCCAAGCGCACGGGAACTGGTCCCTGAATGAAACTCTAAACTCACAGGCATTTTCTCTGCACCTCCTCGCAGCCTTTTGCGGGGAGCACTAGCCAACAGTGTAGCGCCACGCGTGGGGGTTTAGAGAGCAAACCACCCTCACAATCACATTTCCCCCGCCGGCCGCCAGGGGACGCTGTGCTAGCAGGCGCAGCCTTTCCCACGCCAGCCGGGTGTGCGCGCACTTTTCTGGCGCTCCGCGGGCGCAGAGGACACCGGAAGTGCTGCAAGTGTCGATTTGTGGCCTTACAAAGTTCAGTGAATAAGTGGGTTCATGACTAGGACTGTGAATAAGGCGGGTCTCCTGCACTGGCGCATTCTCCCCACTTGGTACCAGGCATTTTAATGACCAGGTGGGATCCCACGGTATCCACGCGCCATCATCACTTTCTTAATCTGGGATACTTAATTGTTCTTCAATTTTTTGTTCTCTTCTGTCATTCCAGAGCGTAGAGGTTTGTTAGGCCGTCATTTACTTAGGTTCCTTCCTGGAGGAGGAGCCGTGAGGGGAGTGTGGCTTGGTGACCACGCTCAGTGGCCCTGGGCTGCATCCCCAGGAAGACAGCAGGGAGTCTGGTCTTTAAAGATAGTCGTATCAGTTTGCATGGTAACCTCTCGGTAGCCCACATTTTCGTGTGTGTGTGTGTGTGTGTGTGTGTGTGTGTGTGTGTGTGTGTGCATTAAAGGGTTAACTCCGCGGAGATAGGTGTTCAAATCCCAGTCACATCAATGGTCAGCAGGACTGAACCAGCTCTGGGCATAAACTCTCCGTCTTCGGAATACCCTGCCTGGTGCCTGGCCTGGTGGCTTGCACCCCAGTCCCAGGGATTCGGAAACTGAGGTGGGAGGAGTGTGGGATTAAGGCCATGAAGTGAGACCCTGTCTCAAAAAGAAAGAAGAAAAAGCTGGGTGTGACGCCGGCACCACCAGCACTCAGGAGCTGAGGCAGGCTTGTGAGTTAAAAGCCAGGGGGCTACATAGAGTTCAAAACCAGCCCGAACTACATAGCGAGACCTTGTGTTAAAAACAAAAAACCCCAACTCTTGGTAAAGTGGCCATAGACTATGCCAGAAATTATGTTAACCGTGTGGTTTATTTTGAACACCTATTTTTATTTGCTTAGGGTCTTGGGCCACACACATTGTGTTCTTTATATATCTAGGGGGCTGGAGATGGAGTGGCTGGGGTCAGGCACATAACTGTTCCATGTCTAGGAGATCCCCCCCCCCCCCATAAAGCCTTGGCCACCAAGACTCACCTGGTTCTTTGGTTGGCACTTCCCTGTGTGTGACACACTGATCCTGGAGATCAAGTGCCGTGTGCACAAGGGCACTGGGTTTTCCTGGGCTATGTCATGTGTATATTTTTCTGTCCTGATTTGATCTCTATCATTTTGCAGTAATAAAACATAACTATGAGCAGAAGAGTTCTGAGTTCTATGAGTCTGTCTGTAAATGACTGAAACCGGGTGGTTTGGAGGAACTCTCAATACAATCCTTTACATACTTGTATATACATGCAGGATTCTGTGCACCAAAGAATATACTATATTTTATTGGCAGCTGAAGAGTTTTCAAGGGTAACTAGCTACACTATACTTGATTTCTGTATCACATTCTATTTTTAGAACCCAATCCTTATCAGCTGCAACTCCACTATTGAACATCTTTTTAAATGCTTATTGGCCATTTGACTTTTCCCTCTAAATTATCTGTTCATGTTCTTTTTCTTCACTGAGCTGTTCTTGAATTTCAAAAATAGTAAGCCTATTCACATATACACAAGGAAATCACATTTTTGTTTCCCTGTTGGTGCATGGAGCTTAGTGCTTTCTATATGGTTAGCGATTTGCTTTGTCCAAATAATCCCTAAAATTACTCACCCTCAGGAATACCAGCTTCCTCCAATACCTACTTTTCTTCTGCCGTGTCTCTATTTAAAAGTCGTGTCAACCCCAACCTCAATCTCTCTTAGGCTTCTTTTTCTCTAGATAAAACATTCACTCCCTGAATTTAGTTGGTTTAATAATGCACATCCATCTTTTCTTTTTCTTTTTTTCCTTGGCAGTGCTAAAGTTTGAATGCTGCAAGCTCTCTACACCCTTTACCTGTATTTTCCTTTATATTATCATGGCACAATCAGATCTTTAGTCACGTGTGATTATCATAATAACCTTCCCATGAATCCAGTAACTTCTAGCCTTACTTTCATTTTGCAGACACCTGATTAACCTTCTTAAAACACTGATTTCATCACAATGAAATCTTGCTCAAGTCTCTATGATTCTATTTCTCTTAGCAAATATGGAAACCTCTGGGGTTGGACTTGGAGGTGTCCCTGTGGCAAGCCCTGCCCACCTGGTTTCTGCACAGAATCATCCAGAGAGAGGTGCTGACACAGGAAAGGTTCCTTTCTGTGTGGTCTGTCAGATGTGCTGAGCCTGGAAGGACCTAAGTTGTGACCTAGGAGGCTGAAGTGGTAGGCGATGTCAAAGGCTGGTTAAGGTGATCCTAAAGCAGTTGTGCTGTTTGTTGGTGGCATCAGTTTGAAGAAGAGTGGCTCCTGATAACCAGATCGTATGCAGTAGATTGCAGACCCTAATTCTGTGTGCTGTTACACATGGCCTTTGCTTCTAGGGGCCTCTTTTTTTTTCTTCCCAGGGCTGGAGATCAAAACCCAAAGCTTCATGCACACCAGACAAATAAAAAAGTGGTCCTCATAAAATTTTAAAATGGGTTATACAATAGATGCATATTCATTACAGATAAGTGTCTTGATGTCTAGGAAGAAAAGGAAAAAATCTGTACAATGATCAAAATATTGAAATTTTATGAAATCTTACATATAAAACTCTAGAAATGCTATTAATGTTTTGTATGTATTCTACAGTATTTTTCTACATATTTAAAAAATAGGACTTGGTCATGGTGGTGCATCCTATAATCCTAGCCCTTTGGAGAGTGAGGCAGGAGGGTAGTGAGTTTAAGGCCAACCTGTACTACATAGGAAAACCTTGTCTCCAAAAAAAAAAAAAAAAAAAGTCCCAGAAGAATTAGAATTTTATTCCAGTTTATTTCTTGTATTACTACTATATGGTAAACACTTCAGTATTCTTTAAAAATGAAATTTTTTGGGGCTTTTTTCCTTTTTATTGGTACCAGGGATCGAACTCACGACTGCCAGCTTGCAAGGCAGGCGCTTATGCTGCTGAGCTAAATCTCCAGCCCACTAAAAATGAAATTTTAAGCTAGGAGTAGTGGCACTTCCCTTTTAACTGCAGCACTTGGGAGGCTGAGACAGAAGAATTGCAGTGGGTTTGAGTCCATCCTGCGCTACACAGTCAATTCAAGCCCAAGCTGAACTTCATAGTGAGACCCTGCCTCAAAAACAAAAACAAAAACAAAAACAAAGCAACTTGAATAGCTAGCTATATCTCTTCCCTCATTTAAACTAAGTACTAAGTAGAATTAGATCATATTAATAAAAGGTAGATGTTTAGCAATATAACCACATTTGAAAAAGCTATTTACTTTCTAGCCTCCTCTGGCTTTTCACTGGTTGATCTCTCCAACATCATTTCTATCCCTTTATACTGTATGTCCTTTATTTGTCAAATGCAAGTGTAAGCAGCTGAATGATGTAAAACTGCAGGTGTAATGAATACCATGTTTGGCTGCAGAATTCACACACACACACACACACACACACACACACACACACACACGTATGTGGCGTGCTTGTCCCTGTCTTGCAACCCCTAAGCATCTTCCCGTGTCACTCTTTCTCCCTGTGCCTAGTGAGTTGTTTTCCAGTTGGTGCTGGTCCTGCCCCCTCGGACTTGGTGCCTCTCTGTGCATCCCCGCCATTGTGCGATGGTGGGGAGCTGCAGCAGCCATGTCGTGCTGTGGTCACCTGTCACTCTGCATTTGCTCACTCACGTGTTCTCATGGTAACCCGGGCCGGCCGGCTCAGAAGTGTCAGAGGCAGCTGCGGCTGAATCCAGCTACGATGCCCGGCTCCTCTCAGCGGCCCCTGCCTCTCGCTCTCCTCTGGGAGGCTCACTTTAAATGTGCCTGAATTGTGGTTTTTGGCAGATTGTTACAGTAGAATATTGACTCTCTGATCTGAAGCCAGGCTTGTCTCAGAGATTGTCTGCTTTTCTAAGAGCTAATAATGAGAATTGATCAACAGTGCGGGTGGAGGCCAGAGGTAGAGGGAGGAAGAAAAATCCCTGATCGCTGTCCAGAGAATACTGAATTCTGAAGCTGTTTGGCAATTTATGTCTATTATTTTGCCTTGTTTCTTCCTCTCAGCAGTGAAGCAGTTTTAATGGGCATTATACAATTGAATTAAGACAAACTACAGCAGGCA